ATACATCCTTAAATCCTCATCAGGCACCTGGACGTAATTGTAAAAAATGTGAGAAAGCTTTTTTTTGAAAAAAATTTTTTTGGAAAAATTTTTTGAAATTTTTTAGTAGTCAATGAATGTTTAAATCCGTTGCAAAATGATTGTAATCCAAACGCTGATTGCTTGGATGAACTTGTGGGTTTTAGTTGTCATTGTCGACCAGGATATGTAGATATAGGTGATGGCAAAAGAAGAGGACGAAAATGTGTGAAGAAGGGTATGGGTTAAATTTTTTATTACAAAATTTTTTTGCTTGAACAAAATTCTAGAAAAAATTTTTTTTGAAAAATATAAAAATTTAGAGCAATTTAAAATAAAAAAAGTTCAATAAATTAAATTCCAATCTCTCTCTAAATTTTAGCTGACACTAAAAACAACAACAACAAACTCTGCATTGGAAAAAACTGCGAATCATCGCCAGAGGCCATTTGTGACGAAAGGGCGCCAGAAGACGCTACCTATCTCTGCCATTGTCCACCTGGTTTTATTGTCGAATACGTTGATGAATCACTATCAGAGGAATTTTCAAAAAGAAAGAAAAAACAACATCCACGCGGTGCAGCGATTTGTCTACCTATCAGCTCATCAGAAGGTAAAAGGGGAAAAATAATTTTTTTATAAATTAAATAAATTAAAATTTGGGGGTAGGTAAAGAGTCTTTAAGTAAGAATAGGTATCTAATTGGGATTTTAGTTAAATCCTTTTTGTGTGTGTTTTTTTGTAAATCAGAATTGTGTGTGTTGTTTTTGAGTGTTATTGTGTGTTTTCTAAATCAGAAATATTTTTTTGTCCTCTTTCAAATCTGTGTATGTTAGTTGTTAAATTTGCTTCCATCCTAAAATTTTTTCCTTTTTCTCGTCAATTAATGTAAATAAAATATCCGCAAGTTTAACGTCAAATTAATTATGGGTCGGTGTCTTTTCTTCCATTTCTTCCCCACAAATCTTCATTAAAACGAAAAATATTAGATTGGAACAATTCAAGCGCGTTATCGCCCACATTGATTGATCATTCGTTTTGCGGGTAAATTGAAGAAAGAGATCATCTCGCAAAAAAAGTTTTGGGTCAATCATCCTGAAATAATAAAATGATGAGAATAATACGAATGATAATACATGGATGATTATTATCTCCAAGTGGAAAAATTATGAGAAAAAGGAATAATTATTAAGGGGAGAGTTTGTGTTTTATTAACGATGTTTTGTTCGTGTGTTTATTAATGATGTTTTGTTTGTGTGTTTATGTTACTCAATCTGTCTTCGAATGTTTGTGATCATTTTGTTTTTACGTTTTATGTTTGTTTGTGTGTTTTTCGTTTATTAATGATGTTTTTGTGTTTTTATTTTTAATGATGTTTTTGTGTTTTATTTTTAATGATGTTTTTGTGTTTTATTTTTAATGATGTTTTTGTATTTTTATGTTTATTGATGTTTTTGTGTTTTTATTTTTAATGATGTTTTTGTGTTTTTATTTTTAATGATGTTTTGTGTTTTTATTTTTAATTATGTTTTTGTGTTTTTATTTTTATTGATGTTTTTGTGTTTTTATTTTTAATGATGTTTTTGTGTTTTATTTTTAATGATGTTTTTGTGTTTTTATGTTTAGTGATGTTTTTGTGTTTTTTGTTTTTATTGTTATTATTGATGTTTTTGTGTTTTTTGTTTTTAATGATGTTTTTGTATTTTTATGTTTAGTGATGTTTTTGTGTTTTTTGTTTTTATTGTTATTATTGATGTTTTTGTGTTTTTATGTTTATTGATGTTTTTGTATTTTTATGTTTAGTGATGTTTTTGTGTTTTTTGTTTTTATTGTTTTTATTGATGTTTTTGTGTTTTTATTTTTAATGATGTTTTTGTGTTTTTATGTTTATTGATGTTTTTGTATTTTTATGTTTAGTGATGTTTTTGTGTTTTATTAATGATGTTTTTGTATTTCTCTTTGACGAGGTTTTTTGTGTTTTTATGTTTATTAATGATGTTTCTGTTTGTTTGTTTTGAATGTTTATTAATGATGTTTTTGATCGGTTTTCTGTTGGTCTTATGGGTCGATTCTTTCAAATGTATGTTTTGTTGTTGCTTTATTTTTACGGCTACTAATAGAAAAGTGAAAACCTGTAGTAGATAGTTCGAAAAAGTGATGGTTTGATTGAGAAAAAAAAGTTAATGATTTGGGGGTGAAAGATGGGTCAAGAATATTTATTTAAAAAAACAAGTTTTATGTAAATATTTACTAATTAAATATTTTTTCTTAGAGTAATTAATTAAATAAGCAAGGTCGTTATTATTTTTTGAATTTAAAAAATGAAGATTTTTACCAAAATTAGGATCAATAAAAGGAGATAAAAGGAATTGATAAAGTTGAAAAAAAATTTTAAATTAAAAAATTTTTGAATAAAAAAATTTTTTTAGACGAGGAAACTTTTCAACAACACCAACAAGGAACAAATTCATCATGTATTTATTGTGATCCTGCTACAACTGAATGTGTTAATAATGTTTGCCGTTGTTTACCTGGATATGTTCCTTTAAAATCTGAACAACAACAAAATTTAACAACAAATTGGAAATTTTCTTGTGTCAAATCAAATGGAAATTATAAAGGTGGGGTTTAATTTTTTTATGTTTTCTGATATAATTCATGCTAATCTGATTATCTTGTCGTTGGTCACTAAAAAAATAAATCTATTTTTTAGTTCCACCCCCAATATTTTCTTTTGTTGTATTATTACAACAAATTTATGGGGAAAGAATATATTTGAACGAGAACAAAAACTATATGTATATTTATTCGTTAAAAACAAAACCAGTCTTTTTACTAAATATATACATATATTTTTCAATTATCCAGAGGGTATTAAAAAAATATTTGCAAAAAATGTTGTTAAAAATAGGCGTCGTAAGCTGTAATATTTTGTTGTGTTTTGTTTCCATGTTTTTTTTTTGATTGAATGTCTGAGAATGATTTACAAATATATGCAAACATTGATTTATATTTTTGTTTGTTTGTTTTTGATTTTTTCTGACTTTTATGCTTTTTCTTTTATTAATGATGTTTTTGTGTTTTTATTTTACTGATGTTTTTGTGTTTTTATGTTGATTATTGATGTTTTTGTATTTTTATGTTTATTGATGTTCTTGTGTTTTTTTTTTCAATTGTATTTTTGTGTTTTATGTTTTTTAGTTATGTTTTTGTATTTTTTGTTATAAGATGTTTTTGTTGTTTTTGGGTTTTTATGTTGATTATTGATGTTTTTGTGTTTTTATGTTTATTGATGTTTTTGTGTTTTTATTTTTAATTGTATTTGTGTGTTTTATGTTTTTAATTATGTTTTTGTATTTTTTGTTTATTGATGTTTTTGTGTTTCTTTATTAAGATTGTTGTTTGTTTTGTTGTTGTTTGGTTTTGATTTTCGTTTTGATGTTTGTTGTGGCGTTTGATTATGTTTTGTTGTTTATCTTATGTGGATTGTGCTTGTATTTTTTGTTACACCGGATTTGTGTTTTTTTCTGATTTTTTTCCCAATCCAAAATTTAATTGCGCATCATTTTTAGAGAATTATTATTATTATTAATTTTTTTTTATTATTCCAAATTGTTGCTAATAATATTAATAATTCTTAAAGGAAAAGTGAAAGCTGTGTGGCAATTCATGCAAAAAATGCAAAGATTTTTCCTTTTCTTAAAAAGAAAATCTTCTGTTATTAAAAAAAATTGTGCGCAATGTGTGTGTAGTCTTTTTTAATAGTATATAATTACTGGGAATTTTGAGGCAACATGAATATAAAAAAATCAAGTTGGAAAAAGAGGATTGAAAGTTGGGGGTGTTGGTGTGTTTAGTTCATTCTCTAAAAATAAGACTGGTATTTTTTGGACAAAAAATTTTTTGTATTGAAATTGGCCTTTGATTACCTATTTTTATTTTTAAATCAAAAATTGGTTTTGTAAATTTTTAACTTTTAAAAAATTTTTTGGTAAAAAAATTTTTTGGAGAAAGTATAGGTAGATTAAGGTTTTTATTTTTTTGTTCTCGTTCAAATATTTACTCTTTTTTCTTACTTTTTTATTTTTTTTTTAAATCTAATGTTTAAATCTTTTGAATTTTTATTAATTCATATTACTCACCAGTAGGGTTATATTTTTTTTATTTTTATCTGTGATAAAGTAAACCCCCGTCGGGGAACAACCCTACTTATCAGTGGTGTGCCGTAACTACTTTTAAAAGGCGAAGGACGAAAGGCAAAACTGGCACATTTATTTTTCTCTGTAGTTTTTAATCTTATCCTTCCTAATCATTACTTTTATCTTTAATTATTTAAATTGATTAAATTAAAAAAATTCTTTACTCGATTGGTCATCCCATTTATCTCCTCTCTTCATTTCTTATAATTTATTCGATCAAAGCAACACAACCGCCTTTTTTTGCATTTTTTCTTCTTTCAAAAAACTCTGTCCCCTATAGCTATAATATATTTTTTTCTTCTTCTCCTGCTGCGCGACTCCCAAAAACAAAATTGCGTGTCATTAAACTCTAAAAAAATTTTTTTAAGTTTAATAAAAACGAAAAGGAAGGTGACTTTTGACTTTTAGAGATTTATGAATATTTTTTGTTATTTTCAAATAGCCAAAACAGACACGAAAGGTTTAAGCCATGCAATAACCACGAAAGAATCCTTGGGATATATTTAGCATTAGAGGGCGGCTTTTTGTTTAAATGGATAACTAAAGCGATTCTGTCCATGAACTGACCTAATGAATTTCCATTTTTTATATCACTGGGCATATTTCTGTCTTTTTTTTTATTATAACTTAAAAGTTCAGGCTGGGTCATAAGTTTAAGTTCGTTCACTTTACCCCTAAAAATAATCTTTTAAACATTTTTAATCACGGCCAGTATTGTTCGAAATATTTGTGCCCTAAGGCGACGGCTGTCACCACCAAGAAAGAATATTTTGGGTGCCCCGCCCAATGTCCTCGAAAATCTCTTTTTTCCTTCTTTTTTTCCTCCAACATTTTTCTTTCAGTTATTTAGTGTTTGCGCGCGATTTCTGCTAATATAACTACACTTCTTATCAGCAACCACTCATCTCTTTTCTCTCACTCAATATCCTTTCAAAAAGTAGTTATGTTTGTCTTTTCTCATATTTATGCAAAAATATTTTTATTTATATATCTAATTAAATTTTTTAAATTAATTAACGGATTTTGATTATAATTGACATATCTATTTATTTTTTTCTTAAAAAATTCTTTAAAATTTTTTTATCTTTATGGCTTTATCCATTACCCACAATTATTTCAATCTTTATCTCTCTTTAATGCCTTAATTGACAATTGTGTTCGGTATGAACCCGGAGCCTGCTGGAGCCTTAACCACAGAATGCCCAGCATGCATTACTGCTTGACAATTTTTAAAATATCTATTCGGACCTATCATAACCTTACTTTTTTAGAATCACAAAAATAAAAAAAATTAAAAATCAACGGAAAGTTGGTTTAAAGCCATTTTCTATAAATGGTATTATTCTCTCTATTATTTTTATTTTTACGGAAACAACAACAACCTTCTTTCATTTTATTTAATTTATTAATTTTATTACAATTGTTAATTAATCCAATATTTGGTTAGCAAGAATTATTTTATTAAAAAATTTTTTTCAACCTCTAGAAAATTGAGAACCTGAAAGAATTTTTTCTAGAACCCTAGAAAATTTCTCAAAAAATTTTTCTCTTTATAGGTGCAAATCCATGCCAAGACTATTCTTTGAATGATTGTGATCCAGTAGCAGAATGTGATAGTGATCAACCTGGTTATTTTCAATGTAGATGTCCTTCTGGTTATTTAGATGTTAGTCCAGATAAAATTAAAATGCCTGGGAGAATATGTAAAAAAGGTGGGAATTTAATTGAAAAAATTTTTGTGGAATTTGGAATTTTTTGAATATTACAAAAAATATTTTTTGAAGAAAAAATTTAAAATTTTTTTCGATTACCTATTTCAAATTAATTTTTGTTAAAAAAGAAAAATTATTCAACATCCATCTACTTATTTGAAAAATTAATTTTCTGATTTTATAATATACACAAAAACAATTGCTTGTTTCTAAAAATTAAATCTTCAAAAAAAAGTTTCATTGTTCATCGTCGTCCTTGACGGCGTCACTCTCTCTCAAGTCCATTCTCAATTCATCTTCAGGTCGTTGCTCTTTCAACTCTTTTTTTTCTTTTTTTTTATCCTTCCAATTAATTCATTCTTTAATTTTTAATTTATTTATTGTTTTCACATGAATGACAATTCAAAAAATTATTTTTTTTTGTAAAATTGATGGATAATGTTGAGTAATTCTTCTTTGTCTTTAAAAAATTTTTTTTTGTTTTACCTTAAAAATAGTTTTTAGCTACTATAAATATCTAAGAGAATAATTGTCCTCTTAATAAGAATAAAAAAATAATTTTTTTAAAAAAGGTTAGAAAAAAATATTTGAAGGGCACATACTTAAAAACAATTAAAGAAATCTGTTAATTTTATTAAAAAAATTTTTTTTAATTTTTTAAATTTACAGTTGAAAATGACTGCACAACAGGTAAACATAAATGTGATACAAATGCTGAATGTGTTGTTACTTCAAGTAAATATTTTAAGAAATTTATTTTTGATTAAATTAAAAAAAATTCTTAGATGGGTATACCTGTCGTTGTAAGCAAGGATGGTTAGATACAAGTAATGATAAGGTGAAAAATTAATTTTATTTTGGAAAATAAAATAAATGTATTTAATTTTTTAGGAGCATTCTCCAGGGAGGAGTTGCAAACAAAGTAAGGACAAGCATAAAGAAAAATCAGAAAAAAATATTCTGAAAAAATCAGAAATTTTTTTTGTTTCATAGGTAGCCAATGCCGTAATATTGATTGTGCTCCAGAAGCTGAATGTGTTGAAAATGTATTAGCAGGACAACCACCTATTTGTAAATGTCAACGTGGCTATGTTGATGTTTCTTCTAAACAAGGAAAGTTGCCTGGAAGAGTTTGTTTGTTGGTGCGAAATGAGTGTCTTCAACATGGGGAAAAGTTTGTTTTGTTTTTTTAAAATAAGTATACAATTGTAAAAACAAAAATCAGAATTACTTACAAATCAGAATTAAGTTTACTTTTCTGAAAACTTTTTACAATTGTAAAATAGAAATCAGAATTAAGTTCAATTCTAAAATCAGAAGTAATTACAATTGTAAAACGAAAAAAGTTTGAAATATATAAACCAGAATTTCTTAAATTATAAAATCAGAATTAATTTAATTCTCTCAACTTTTTACAATTGTAAAAATGCAACTTTCTTTTAAATAGTAACAGAGAAAAACAAATTTAAAAAATACAAGGCTTTATTTTAATTTCTTTCTAATTTAGTGATTGTTCTCGTGATGCAAATTGTATTGATACAGATGAATCCTTTACTTGCCAATGTAAAGAGTGAGTTTCTCTTATTAAAAATTTTTCACTTTACAAAAATTTAATTTTTTTAGTGGTTACAACGATGAAAGTCCACAAAAGAATAAAAAACCTGGTCGAATTTGTTCAAGGAGTACATATTTAAAAAATTTTTTTATAAAATAATTTTTTCTTTTAAAGAAAATTTACCTTCAACACCAGAATGTGATGTTAATGATCCGATGAGTTGTGATTCAACAAGACATGAAGCTTGTCAATTTATGAGTGGGACATATAGATGTGCTTGTGCAAATGGTTATAGTCGATTGCCTGATGGACGTTGTTTGGCTATTAATGAATGTTTAGATTCTAGACTTAATGATTGTTCTCCAGATGCTGATTGTATTGATGAGGTGAAAAAATTAATTTTTTTTTGAAAATTTTACTGGAATTTTTTTGAAAATTTTTTTGAAAATTTTTTTTTCATTTCTACAGACGATTGGCTTCAGTTGTAAATGTAAAAGCGATTTTGTTGATGTTTCTCCACCAGGGTCTCGTTTTGGCATTTTATGTCGCCGAAGAGTTAATGAATGTTCTGCCCCTAAACAATATGCCGTTGATTGTGATTCTAATGCTGTAGGGATCTTTATTTGGCTTTTTTACTGTTATTTTTTTAGAATTGTATCGACACAGATGACAGCTTTATTTGTCGATGCAGACCAGGATTTGTGGATATTTCCGAACAATTCAATAGATTACCGGGACGAAGATGTATAGAAGCGGTGAATGAATGTTTAGATTCTAAACTGAATGATTGTTCTGAGCATGCAATTTGTGAAGATTCAAAGGAAAGGTTAGAGTTTTCAAATAAATGGTTGAGGGAGCTTCTCTCCCTAGAGGCAATCATTTGTTCAATTTATGGCGGTGGGACAGTCCCTCTCCAAATTATCATTGCATCCTTATGGGTGCCGTAGGCCTTCCTTCCTCTTTCTTCCCTGTTCCTTCATGAAATTATAAGGAAACACAAAATTCATTGTAACAAGGATAGGACGAGTTATACGAAGCTCGGTCTTTTTCGAGACGCGAAACCCGATATCCGAAGTAGATTTATTAGAATACTTTATCTGAACCCAGCCTGACTTTTATTCTCGATCCATCCCATCCCTGAATTTTATATTGCTTTAATTTTCTTTTTTTAAATAGTTATACATGTAAATGTAAAACTGGATTTCTGGATACATCTCCAGATGCTCGTAAATATCCTGGACGTTTATGTATTAAACCTATACAAGAAAAAGAATCAAATTTAACTTCAAATCCATTTCAACTTTCTTTGGATACTTGTGATCAAACTAAAGGAATTTATGCTTGTAGAAAAGGGTTGGAATGTATTGAGGATACCGATGGAAATTTTATTTGTGCATGTCCAGAAGGATCGTTTTTATATTCTGATGGAACTTGTCGGTTAACTAGTGCTTGTAAACATTCTATGGAGTGTGACAAAAGTATATATTATATTTTTACTTTTAAAGCTTTAATTAAAGTCCTGGGCTTTGTTTTTTCAATCGGTTATTCCCTATGGGATAGGGCTATTATTAGAGATAGGCTTCTATTAGAGAGTATACGGTTATTTTTTAATGGGCCAGGGCTTGTTTTAGATATGGGCGTCCATTAGAGAGAGGTTGAGTTTATTTTTCGATGAGCCTCCGTGGGTGGGCTTCTTATTAGAGACTGGGCGTTAATTAGTTGTTTACGGTTTTTTAATTTTTAAAATTAAAAAAAATATTTTCTCAATAGATGCTATTTGCGTCAATCTTTTTGACTCGTTTCAATGCCAATGCAGGCCAGGATTTTTTGATAAATCGCCTGATCCTGAAACTAAACCTGGAAGAATATGTAAAGAATGTGAGTAGAATTAATTTAGAAAAAAAATTTAAATTCTCAATTTTTTAGTAATAAATGAATGTGCAAATCAAGCTCATGATTGTTCACCCTTTGCTGAATGTGTAGACGCAACTGACGGTTTTGCTTGTATTTGTAAGGAAGGTTTTGTTGATATATCTTCACAACATGAATTGCTACCTGGAAGACGATGCTCTAATGGTGATTTTTTAAACTTGTAGTAATTTTCTGTAGTAGAGCCTCACCACTCTTTAATAAAAATCCCTTTAGATTTTTATATATTGGCTCTATTACATAAAATACGGTTAAATTAAATTTTTTTAATTTTTAAGCAAGTAATGAATGTGCCGATCGTTCTTTAAATACGTGTGATGAAAGTGCTGATTGTATAGACACACAACAAGGATATAGTTGTCGTTGTATTCCTGGATATGTAGATGTTTCTACTAGTGCAAATTTACCTCCTGGACGTGTTTGTACAGTTCAAACAAGTTGCCCAAAGCAAAAAACAGATTTGATGTTTTTGGTGGATGGTTCTGGAAGTATTGGTTCTGCTGTTTTTAGAAATGAGGTAGAAAAAATTGGATCAATCCTGAAGGTGTACTAAACTCTTAACGCCTGTTGACCTGAAGACTTATGCCATTTTTTATTTTTATCTCATTACAAGTCTAATAGTGGGATCTGAGGAGGGATATCAGTGAATTTCGAGAGGTATCTGCGATAACAGGAGATTTGACGGATTTCGAGGTATTTGGATGGATTAAAGCGGATATCGATGGTGTAGGCATTTAACGTAATAGGCATTCAAGGGTGAGGTCTTGAGAAATGTATGTCTTCAAGATCAATTGGCATTAAAGATGTAGGCCTTCATGGAAGACTAAAAAATTTTTATCAAAAATAAAAATTTTTCAATCATTTCTTTTCAGGTTCTTCGTTTTATAAGCGATTTTGTTGAACTTTTTGATATTGGACAAGAAAATACACGAGTTGGATTAATTCAATATAGTGATCAAATAAGACATGAATTTGACTTAAATCAATATTCTGACAAACATTCTTTACTACAAGCAATAGCTCAAACTCAATATTTGACTGGTTTAACAAGAACTGGGGCAGCAATACAACATATGGTTCAAGAAGGTTTTGCCCAACGTCGAGGAGCACGTCCTCCTTCCTCTCCTCTTCCGTCATCGTCATCAAGTAGTAGTACTGATGTAAGCCGTGTTGCTATAGTTATAACAGATGGAAGAAGTCAGGATAATGTAACAGAACCAGCACAAAAGGCTAGAGAACAACATATAAATACTTTTGCTATTGGAGTTACTGATCATGTACTTGCTTCAGAATTGGAATCGATAGCTGGTTTAATTTAAAAATATATAAATTAGAGGGATGTCACGGGTTAAGAGAAAATTCTGTTTGCGTTAATTTTTTATTCGTGGTTCGGGTCTCGGGTCAAAAAAAGTCCGAGGCTCCTCGTGTTGGGTTTCAAGTCTTGGGGGGTTTCGTATAACACGTGACATCCCTGATATAAATGTGTGATTTGCTCATAATTATTATTTATTTTAATAGGTTCTCAACAACGCTGGTTTTATGTTGATCGCTTTAAGGATTTGGATATGCGACTTCGATCAATTGTATAAATTTGTTTAGTTTAGAATAACTTTTAAGTGCTCTAATTTAAGGTTCAAAAACTAGCATGCCCCTCTCCATCACGTCCCACTCAATTATCAACTGGTTGCAGTGTTGACGCGCAAACAGGATGTGATAGAACACGGAATGAAATTTGTACTTTGATAAATAAGAAACCAACATGCCACTGCCCTAATGGTGGATTTGATAGACATCCATTAACCCATGTTTGTGGTGGAGATTTATGCAATCCTGAAGTAATTTTAATTATTTCTAAATCTTTATTGAATATTTCAGTTACCAACTTCTTGTCCACATCCTGAATTGTGTCAACGAACACCTTTTGGTAATTTTTAAAGTTATTCATTTTTAGAATATATAAGCTCTGGGTTTCTATTCTTCAAATGTCGCTGAATGGGTTTATATTGAAGATGGGCTTATATTACATTTGGGCTTATACATATTAGTGTTTGGGATTGTAATAGACTATTTATGGTATTCCCAATTTTTATAGGAAATCATCGCTGCGCTTGTCCTGCCTCATATGCACGAGAAATGCATTCAGGAATATGTATATCTTCTTCACTTTCTCATATACCTTCAAATAAACAACATTTGCCTTCAAACTTTACTTCTTCAACAACCTTTTCTCCATCACTTAATGTCAAAACTTGCCCTCCAGGAATGGCATTAAATCCTCGATCAGGAAATTGTGGACCTCCTGGATCTTGTGATCCACTTAGAAAAAGTGAAGATGAATGTGATATACGTAAACGTGAACATTGCCTTTTACATACTTCTGGACAATTTCATACTTGTCAGTGTTTACCAGGAGAGAAACGACATCCAGCGACTGAAATTTGCTGTATGATTTTTTAAAATTATTTTTTAAAAAATAAATTTTTTAAAGTGAGAAATGAATGTTTAAACAAAAGAGATAATGATTGCGATCCTGCTGCAAAATGTATTGATACTGATGAAAGTTATTTGTGTGTTTGCCCTCTTGGATATTTAGGTTTTTTTTATTATACTTTTGGACCAGAGAAGGGGATGTACCGAAAGTGATTTTTAAAAAGCCGAAACGAAAACCGAAACGAAACACCAAAAAAGGTGAAAGGCGAAACTGGCACACTCCATTTACTTTTGTTATGTTATACCAATATATTTTTCTAGACCAATCTCCAGATCCTGTAAACAAACCGGGTCGTCTATGTGTTGGAGAAGTTAATGAATGTGCTCTAGGTCAAACACACACTCGTTGTTCACCTGATGCTTTGTGTGTAGACACCGCTGAAGGATACATTTGTCGTTGTAAACCTGGTTTTGTTGATTTATCTCCAAATGCGCGGCATGAATCTGGAATTGTTTGTCGTAAATTAGTTGATGAATGTTCTCGTGAAGAATTGAATACTTGCCACCCAGATGCATTTTGTGTGGATACGTAAAAAATTTTTCAGGAAATGTTATAATCTTTTCCTTTTAAAGTCATGACTCATACAAATGTATTTGTAAAGCCGGATTTAGTGATCTAGATGAATTCCGAAATCCAGGTCGACAATGTGTAAAGGTGCAAGAAAGTAATAGTAAATGCCAGGAGGGAAGAAATGATTGCGATAAGAATGCCAGTTAGTTTATTTAAAATTATTTTTATTTACTAGAGGTCAGAACTACGGGACCTGGCATGGGCGTGGGACAGGATCCAGTACAAGATTTACGTAATACTGTCCCGAACTCATGGGTTTTAAGTGACGAATGCGATTTCGGTGATTACTCCCTCGGGATGACCGTCCCGTCGACCTATTAAAAAATACCCGAAGTGATCCAGTGACTAAAATTAATCTTTTCCTCAGGATGTATCTATGACGCATCAACAGACAAATATGAATGTGTTTGCCCTCCCAACTTTCGTGATAAAAGTGTCGACCTTGTCAATGCCCCAGGCCGTGTCTGTATTCCATTCATACCTGAGTGTGACAACCCAGCTTTGAATGATTGCGATCTGCCGGTTTGCTTATTATTCAAAGGAAATTTTTATCTGCTGATTTTTCCACAGGATCATGCCATTTGCACAGATACAGATGAGGGATATACTTGTCGTTGCCGTCAAGGCTTTCTTGATATTTCTCCAAATGTTACACATAAACCAGGCCGTCTTTGCAAACAACTTGAAAATGAATGTGCTAAAGGCACTCATGATTGTGCTAAAGAAGGTGGAATATGTCAAGATACTCCTGGTTTGTCCAAAAATTTTTTGAATATTTTTACTTAAGTGCCAGACTTGAATATTACAAAACTCTCTGGAACTCTTATTTTTTAAAGATTCTTATACTTGTCAATGTTCTCCAAATTATTTGGATGTTTCTTTGGATCGAAAAACTAGGCCTGGTCGTAATTGTAAACGTTTGGTTAATGAATGTGCTGCTGGTCAACATGATTGTTTTCCAACAGCAATATGTACAGATACTGAAGACAGTTATCAATGTCAATGTCCTAAAAATTATTTGGATGTTTCACCTGATCCTTTACAAAAACCTGGACGTCGATGTTTGGCAAAGGCACTTGGAAATAATTTAATTTTGAAATTAATTATAAAAATATTAGATTGATGAATGTACACAAGGATTACATGATTGCTCTCCAAATGCAATTTGCAATGATACAGATTCTGGTTATACATGTAAATGTACTCAAAATTTTGTTGATGAAAGCCCTGAACCTGCTCAAAGGTATTAAAAAGTTATTTATGTACAAACTTAAAACAATTTTTATTTAAAGGCCAGGACGTATCTGCAGACCTGCATTAGTTAATGAATGTGTTTTAAAGAAAGATGACTGTCATAGTGATGCCGATTGTTTGGATTTAGCACAGGGGTAAGTGTTGCTAAAATAAACTTTCCGGGATATATATGAGGCTCAAACTTAAATATTACAAATTAAACTTTCCGGAATATATTAAGTTCAAACTTGAATATTACTAAAATAAACTTTACGGAATATACATGTATATTTGGGTTCAAACATAAATATATATTTAAGTGCAAGCTTAAATATTAAAAAACAAACTTTCCGGAATATATTAAGTTCAAACTTGAATATTACTAAAATAAACTTTCCGGAATATATTTGAGTTCAGACTTAAATATTATTTATTATACTTTCCGGAATATGTATATTCAAGTGCAAGCTTAACTATTAAAAAACAAACTTTCCGGAATATATATTTAAGTTCAAACTTGAATATTACTAAAATAAACTTTAGGGAATATTTTCAAGTTCAAACTTAAAATTACAAAATCGAAATATATTCAAGTACAAACTTAAGTATTTAGAAAAAATGTTTAGGTACAAACTTAAATTTATTAGATTTACATGTCAATGCCGATCAAACTATCTTGATCAATCTCCAAATCGTGTAACACATCCAGGCCGTTATTGTGTTCCCCGTCCAACTCCTCCACCAGATGAGTGTCAATTAACTGCTGGAAATAAAGGATGTAAAGTTGAATTGAATGAAGTTTGTCGAATTGTTGCTGGCCAACCAAAATGTGCTTGCCCATTGAATTATGAAAGAGCTACTACTAAAAATAATACTAGTGGTACTGCAGCTTGTACAGTCATTAACGAATGTCAATTCCCACAGCTGAATGATTGCCATCCGAGGTTGGATTCTTTATCTATTTTTTTCTATTATTTCCCATGTTATAGTGCGGAATGCCAAGATTTGGTTGATGGTTTTACATGTAAATGTCGATCTGGTTTTAAAGATATTTCTCCTAAAGCTAATGAACGACCCGGAAGATTGTGTCAAGCTTGTGAGTTGTAAAGATATTTTTAATTTCTTTAATTTTTAAAAAATTAGTGGTTAACGAATGCCAATTTCCTCATCTAAACGATTGCCACCTACATGCAGAATGTATCGATTTGGAGGTTAGAAAATTTTTTTGAAGCCTGGAAAATTTTTTTTTCGAAAAATTTCGAAAAAAAATTTGAAATTTTTTAGGATAGTTTTCAATGCCGTTGTAAAAAAGGATTTAATGATCTACGACCTGAAAGGCCGGGGCGAATATGCAAACAAATGATTGATGAATGTGAACGTCCCGAGCTTAATTCATGTGATAGAAATGCAAAATGTTTGGATGAAGAGGACGGATATAATTGTGAATGTAAATCTGGATTTGCTGATGTTTCTCCATCGCCTAGTTTACCAGGAAGAGCTTGTCGCCCAATTGTTAATGAATGTTTAGACCAAAAATTGAATGATTGTGATCCGCGAGCAAAATGCATTGATCAGCCAGGTTTTTGTAAAAATATTAGAATTTAAATTATTTTAATATTTAGATGGATATCAATGTGAATGTCCTTCAAACACAAAAGATATTTCTCCATCTGCAGCTTTCCCTGGACGAGTATGCCATGTATTTGAAAATGAATGTTTGACAGGGAAACATGATTGTGACCCACAGGCTGTTTGTCAAGATAATGAACAAGTAAATTAGTAGTGATTTCAACCTTAAATTTATTTCAAAGGCATTCACTTGTGAATGCCCAAAAGGGTATACTGACCGCTCACCAAATAGACAGCATCGTCCTGGCCGTGTATGTGTGAAACTGATAGATGAATGTAAAGAGGGGAGGCATACATGTTCTCCTAATGCTGACTGTCGCGATTTAGAAGAGGTTTATTTTAATAAAATTGTTTTCTTATAAAATTTGTGCTCATTGTTCAGGGTTATACCTGTGAATGTCGTGATGGTTACGTAGACAGATCGCCAAATCTAGCAATTCAACCTGGTCGTGTCTGTGGAGGTTGCTTTTTAAAAAATTCATTCTTTTATTATTATCTTTCTTTTAGTCCCAGAAACATGTCCAGCCAATCATGAGTGCAGTGCTGCTGCTGTATGTGAACCCCAGGGAGGCAATAATTACACATGTACTTGTATTCAAGGATATATTGATCAGGTGGATATTTTATAAAATAGATTGAATTTGTTTTATTAGTCTCCGGATGGTGTTCAAGGCCGTATTTGTGTCCGCAACTCATTCTGCAGAGATCCAAAATTAAATAATTGCTCAAGAAAGGCAGTTTGTTACGAAGAGGGGCAAGGATATCGCTGTGAATGTGCACGTGGTTATTTAGATAAATCTCCTTCTGGGCAACCAAAAGGCCGTGTTTGTGAATTGCCGCCACCACCCCCTCCACCACAACGTTTATAAAATTTAATTGTTTCATGCAATTTGAAATTTTTTTAAAGGTCATCCTTGTCAAGATAGCACCCATGATTGTCATCAAAAGGGTGCTTGTCGTGCTACTGGTGCTGCTTCATTTACATGTGAATGTCTTCCAGGTTATGAAGATCGTTCGCCAGATATTAAAACAAAACCTGGACGTATTTGTGTACTTACTGAACCTATTTGTATCGATGCAACACGTAATGATTGGTATAATGTTTAAACTTTTTTCTAGAAATATTTCAAATTTTTAAAGCCATTCTGCCGCAGTTTGTACAGAAGATAAACTGTTGCCTGAAGGTTTTGCTTGTCGTTGTAGAGATGGTTATGTGGACCAAAGTCCTGATAAAGTTCGTAAACCTGGACGGATTTGTATTGAATTTGTGAATGAATGTTTGGATCGATCATTGAATGATTGCGATCCTTTGGCTATTTGTGAAGATCAACCTGAAGGGTATTTTATTTTTTCTTAGCTTTTGAATATACTACATGTCGAGGATGGGTCAGGTTACCCGAAAGGCGAAATTTGGAATTTTCTCGACCCGAAACCTGATCCTAGAAAAACATTTTATTCAAACATTTTTGATAGATATACTTGCCGCTGTCCTCTTAATGCTATGGATCGTTCGCCAGATAAAGAACGTCGTCCTGGACGAAAATGCATCTCCCAAATTAATGAATGTTCAAATCCATCTTTAAATAACTGTAGCCGATTCGCTGATTGTTTTGATAAACCAGAAGGTTATGAATGTAAATGTCGTCCAGATTATCATGATTTGAATACTGCACAACCTGGAACTTCTTGCAAATTTAGTAAAATTTTTTTGAAATATTTTTTAAATTTATTCTTCAATTTATAGTGCAAAATGAATGTCTAAATTTTGCACTCAATGATTGTTCACCAAATGCTGATTGTTTTGACACTCCTAGTGGCTATAATTGTAAATGTAAACAACCTTTTAAAGACCATGGACCAGCAGAACACCCAGGACGAATTTGCCTTTACAATGAGTGTCAGGATCCTACAAGAAATAAGTGTGATAAGAATGCCATTTGTGAAGATACTGAAGATGGTTTTACTTGTAGATGTAAGGTTTTTTTATAAAGTCGTACGGGGACAAAATGACCCCAACCCCTTTTCTTGGTTTTTTTTCGATCTTGGTTTTTGAAAATCTTTGGTCTTTGATATCTCTGTTTTTTCTTTGAAGAGAATTTTTATCTCTTGTTATTTGCAGGTAATGATGGTTTTTATGATGATTCTGGAACTAAAGGTTTAGAAGCTGGTCGCGTTTGTATTGGTAATATTTTAATGTTAAATTTATCTTTTTAAATTTATTTTTTCAGCATTTTCTGAAAATGAACAACCTGAAGTCATTCAACGTCCCTCTAAACAACAACAACAATCAACGGTATCAAAAGGAATTGCATGTGGACGTAATCATTGGTGTTTGTCTGAACGTAATGAGGTTTCTTTGATTTTTGTTCATTGTCTTTATATTTGGGTTCTTGACAGCCCGTTATGTTTTCCCTATGACGGCTCAACTGCCGCCTCTTTATTTGTTTGAGCCCACCATAGGGAAGGATTAACCGGTCGCCAACAACCCTTAGTCTTTATTCCTTAATATTTTATATTCCTTAGGTTTGTGTTGGTGGTACTCGCTGCCTTTGCCGTCCAGGTGATGGTCGTGCTTCTAATGAAAACAAATGTGTTCCTGTTGAAAAAACTTCTTTTGCTTTTAGGTTTTTTTAAATTTTACTTTGAAAATAATACTTTATTATTTAGAGTAATTAATCGTGGACAACAACCTCTCATTTATAGTAGTGATTATGGTGATAGTTCAAGTAGTACATATGTTGAATTTGTACAAGAATTTCAACGGGAAATGGCTAAAGCTATTGGAAGGTTTTGAATTTTTTTATGATTTTAATTGGAAAGGCTTCCCTTTATTTTACCAATATCATGTTTTGCCAATAGAGCTAGAAACTCACGAAAAAAACTTTATAGTCTTTTGGCAAAACGTGTTATTGTTGAAATAAAGCACAAAATTTTTAAGCACAAAATTTGCACCTCATTATGTTACAACTGATGTTTCTTATTTAACACATCCAAAAGCAATTAACAGTTCTTGGAGTGATGGTATACTTGTAAATTTTACAATTTCTTCGAATAAAAATCAACAACAACAAACTTTAAATCGGTTTTTATTTTATTTAAGATTTTTTAAATTTTTTCTTTCTCTAGTTGTGAATTATGGGAACAGCTTTCTACTTCAATTAAACATTCTAATGGGTTTATTTTTTTAATTAAAATTTAATTTAAAAAAATTTTTTTAAAGTGCAATTGGCAATAATGGACAATTATTTGTCGCTCCAGATTTTGAATTGCTTAATCCATGTATTAAACAACAACCTGTTGAAGATTATTGTGGTGGTAATGAAGATGACTCTTCTGCTGCTATTTGTAAAAAAGAATTGGGAGAGGTATACTAAATTTATAATTTTTACGGGATTATAAATTTGAGATCAACTAAGAAGATTGCCTTTCAGGTGGTCACAATAATTGAGTTGACCTCCAGAGTCAGTTGAACTCCTAGGATTGACCTTTAGTGTGTCGTCTTCCTGGGAATTGACCTTTTTGTATTGACC